AACCAGCACTGCCTCAGGATTTCATTTTCAGAATGAAAAAAGCCTGAGCTGCAGCCCATCAGCTCTTGTGAGAAATCAAATATAGCTGAGGATACTAAATATTAAGCAATCGCAGTGCTTACTCAGTCTGACTGGTAAGAACATGGCAGGTTCCATGCTGAAGCCGTTAGGGATGCATCCCTGGAGAAGGCATAAACCACCCCAACAATGAAAGTGCAGCCTGAGGGAGCAGGGCTGTCCCACTGTCAGGAAGATGCTGGTCTCAGCAGGTCACATCTCTCGGCTGTCACCCAGCACAGTCCTTGGCAGGAAGGTTGAACAAACCATGGAGAAGGAACATCTCTGTCCCTGGGCAGCACCCCAGCCCGGGGCACAGCCTGGCATGGGTTAGCAGCTCTGCTGCCTCGCTGCTCCACGTCAACAGAGGGCTGGTCAAGCTAGCATATTTCAGCAGCCCTAAACACTTCTTAGATACTTCAAAGCTGTTTAAAGCTAGCAAATAAACAAAACCAAACAGGCTGGCAAACATAAAAGCCGATTTCTTCTATCCCCATCTAATTGATCCAAGGGTTCAAAGATTCCTGTGAAGAAGGCAAGCTCAAAACTGCACTGAGGATGCAAAGACCCACATTCAGAGCCACACAGAGCTGGTTACTGCTCATACCCACTTCACCACCCGAGAATACAGCCTGAAGCACGACTGCCTAACACAGGGATGAGCCATGCTCCAGCTCCAAACGCCACACAAGCAGCCTCGCCTTGTGCCTACCCTCTTTCAGCAGCAGATGTGCAGGGAGCAGGGGAAGTCGGGCTCACGACAGAGTCCATTCCTGCCCTCGGAGCTCGCTGAGCACGGCTAGGCCACGGTGTCTGCGTGCTGCAAACAGCACGGAAACCATGCCAGCCAGCAGCTTACAACGCTGTGAAGGCATCTACACACCAATGCCTTCTGGAACACCTGCAGCCCTCCCCACCTAACCCAGCTGCCAGGAGAGGTGTCACTCGGTGCCTCCTAACACCATCGCTGCCATCGGAGATGACAACTGAGGCTGCTGCACTGCCGAGAGCTCATGAAAAGTAGCTCAGGGCTAGTTTTCACTTTGGAGAGGCACTGAGGCTTGGCCCAGGCTGCTCTCTGCCTTCTGCCTGGCACCTCCACCCCCTTGGAGGTGGGTGAGCCCTTCTCTGTGCTCCTCTCCCCGCTGGCAGGCTGCCCCAGCCGGCGCCAGCATCCCAAGGGGAGAGCTGGCAGGGAGGAATTGAAGAGGAGAACACTGCAAGGCTGTTCTGTGTACATCGTAGAGCGGAGTTACCCACCCAGGGACAGCCCAGGCAGGCACTGCCACCAGGCTTGGTCTAGCAAGGACTCAGCTCAGTGCACCCAACACCCTGCTCCACGCAGAGCTCTAGGCACATCCAACCCCTCTGGCAGATACTGAAACCTCAGCCCAACCAAACTAATCTGAAAGGGTGGCCAGCAAGGGTGGCATGGCCAGCCAGCACTCCCTCCCCACATCCAGCAGCGGTGCGGAGGGCTGTTTGTGCCGTGGTATATCTCCCAGCCCCAGGCAGCACTTGTTGCTGTTCATGGGTGCCTTCAGCCCCCCAAAAAACAACTCCCTTGGAGGCACAGCAAGTTCCTTCCTTCCCTCCAAAGGGAAAAGCCTACCAGTACTCGATGCCTAACTGGTGGTGCGTGAAAAGAGGGCAAGACTAGTTTTCAGGGCCACATTTTTGGGTGTTTGGAGAAACAGACAAACCTTCTGTTTATTTGTGTTGTCTTTTAGCTACTCTGTATCTTATTTCAGTTTGTTGCTTTAAGCTCTGTTGTGTTTGGGTTTCTTGACAAGGTCGTTGCTTTCACAAGACTTTTGCAGCACTGCCCTACTTCCCTGGCCTCCAGCTTTGTCTTCTGACGTCCAGTTACTCTCAGAATATTAATTAAAATCACAAAGAGCTCAGGAAGAGGAGCCAAAACAGCAAAGGAAAACAGACACTCCTTCCTCCCCCTGGTCCCCGGCAGAGGGCAATGCCCAGGACTCCGAAGCAGAAGTAACCTGCGAAGGACATCATAGTCTGACGGTCTGCTCAGGGTTTCTCAGCCAACAATACAGGTTTTCCCAGAACTCAAGTTTTTTATGAACCTTTATTCTACCTGCTTGATGAAATTAATGTGGTTTATAACATGCCTGCCTTATCAGATGATTTTAGCATCCTTATGAATATGCAAACATTTTATAACCTTAAGCAGGGAAAATAATCTGAAGGGAACATGATTTGAAAGCTCCTCACCACGAGATTTGTTGACATCAAAAGGCATGGCTGGTTCAGAAGTCAACTTGAATCTCAACTCTCTCACCTGCTTCCTATTACAGAAACAGATGTTCCACTTGCTGTAAATTGCTACTATTAATAATATAAATAATCATGCTTTTCTAATCATTTAATAAGTGCACAGGAGGGTACCAAAGTTCCTGGAAGCCATTAAATACTTCTCCCTTCTTCTAAGGGGCTCAGAGACACGCTGGTGTCCTCTCTTATCCTCCGCTGAGGTTCAGAAAAAGAGAGCTAAAGCGAGAATAACAGCTAAAGAGAAACAAAGGGAGCCAGGATGCTCTCCACAGGCCACCCTGCAGACCCAACCCCTCTCCGAATCTGTATGTGACAGAGTCAACACCTTTCCCACCCGAGATGCAAGCATCAGGGCCCGCACGTGGCTAAGCACAGCAACATTCACGCTCCCTTCCTCCTGCAAGATGCTGCTGCACAACTCCAGCCGGTTTCTACCTTCCCAGATCCTGCCAACCAGGGAAACCTTACTGCACAAGGGAACCTGCTCCAAGCCCTGAGGTCCCTCCCACCCCGCACTGCAAGCCTCACTCATCTGCTGGTTTTCCTCCAGAGAACACTTTGTCCTTGTGTTGATAACAGTCCCAGCCTTGGGAATGTGAGCAACGACACCAGATTATCAAGGTCACTGCAACCTCCAGTCCCTGACTCCTGCTCAGCCCCTCTTCCCCTGCTCCAGCAATCACACGCAGACTGGCAGAGCTCTGGCTCTGTCAGATGAGAGAAAAATCACTGCTGGCTCCAGATGTTAGCACAGCACAGGCACATCTGGATCACTGGAGGGCAGCGAGCAGCCTGCAGGCCATGCGCTGGCTCTGCCTTGCCCTGCCTCACCTTCAGAGTCAGACCCAGCGACTGAGCAAAACCCCCAACCCCTCAGTGCCACGCACCCTCTAAGTCTCCTGCTGTGAGATGCGCTCAGTGGGGCTGCGTGACCGCCCGTGTGGGGGACACAGCTCCCCCCAAGAGGGGGTGTGCTCAGACCGAACCCTCCCTGAGCCTCAAGGCATGCTGTCCTGAGCCCCAAGGCACACTGTCCTGCCTGCAGCGGGACACCAGCCCAGCCCACAGTCGCATTCAAGCTCAGATTCAATGGAGAGTGTGTTATGAGAGCAAAGACCCTGTTTTACTTTATGGTTTGCGGGTTTTGTAATTATTTCCAGCTAAGAAATGCTGCGCACTCCTGGTTATGCAATACGGTCAGAGCTCCAGAGCCCCTCTCCCAGCTAATTCCGGCCTGACCCCTTCCCACTCCAGCTCTGCCAGACAATATGCTCATGCACCTTATCAAACCTGTCTCGGCATGCAGCTCTCTGTGCCCATGCGGTCCTTGGTGCTGCCCTCCTGCACCCCTCCATTCCCCAGCCCGAAGCACCTGGCACCCCATCAGCTTGTCTTCCTCCGCACCTCACTGTCCCAGGAGCAGAAGCAACACAAAGGTTAATTTCCTGTCCCCTTTCCAGAGCAAAATGACTTCCCAAAAGGAAGCCCCTAACGAGGTGCCAGGGATGAACAGAAGGTCCTGGCTAAGAAGTTTCCCAGCAGTTATAAAGATGGACCCAAAGTGCAAAAGGAGGCTGGGGCAGCCGATGTGGCCCACACGGCCTTTGAGGAAACAGCTCAGCCCCGGGGCAGCTCCTGACAGGACACAGCAGGGCGCAGGCTCCCTTGCCCACAGCCCGATGTCTCAGGAAAAGATTTAGCACCGACGTGGCAGGCTACACCTTCAAGATCAATACAGAGAGCAACCACGCGCAGCCAGCCTTTCTCCCTCCCTCAGCCTGAGCATCACCCGCTCTACCAACAGGAAAGAGAACGCGCCGCCTGAGAAAACATGTTTGCACTAGCAAGGTCACATTTAATCAGCCGGCACCTCCCGGGATGCAGTTTCGTCTGTGTGAATTAGTAAGTCTGTCCACAGCGAGAGAGCACCCAGCTGGAAGCGCCTCGTGCCAGGCACCCCCGAATGTCTGCAGCGGGCAGTTCCAGGGCAGGCAGACGGTCCCCGAGCTGGGGACACACGGCAGGCTGGCAGCACGCTGGGAGGAGGACTCAGCTCTGCTCCTTGGGAGCGGAGGCAGAACGTCCCAGGGCCCAGAGTGGCGAATAAAGCCATTTTGTCTCCTGTGACCAAGTCTTGCCGCATCTCTGTTTCCAAGTTGGGCATCGCTGCAGGCGTTCCAGGGCTGAGACAGCACCCAGTGCGCTGATGCTCGCAACCTGCCTTCAAGCCCATGCTGTAAGCTTGTTCCCAGGGCACTAATCAGAACAAGAGCAGCCAAAAATCTCTGCCAGTCACCTTTTGAAAGCTTGCGTTATCAGTCAGATCGTTAAGAGGGCCCTGCAGAGCCTTGAAAGAGACAAAAGCTGATTTGCTGCTTGGCACATGGAATTTCATTCTCGATGCAGATTAATTCCATTAACTCATTCTGTGCCCTTTTTGAGGCATATCCTTCCCTGTCCTTGCAGCTTATAGAAAGCACAGGCAAACGTACCGCAGTCTCCTTTCTGGTACAGGCACTTGATAGCTTCATTTTGCTCTGGATTTTGATTTCTTTCTTTTTTACCCATCTGCAAGCACCCCCCTCTCCCCGCACCACACCACATCTTTCACGAGACCTTTCAGTGCCAACAAAAGCCCAGAAACGCACCTTGTGCTTCGTAGCCAGCAAAGTGACGAGCTGTGCCCACGTCCTCCTCGCCGGGCCCCAAGCCGAGGGCCGACTTGAGCTGGGCCATGTTCACCTGCGCTGTCAGCTCACCGCTCCGGTCCCTGATCTGCAGCGTGAAAACCAACAGGGAGGCTGGTTACAAAGGCAACATGCTCTAAGCAAACGGCCCCTAGCAAAGGGTTTGCCAGTCCCAAATCTGGCCAGGCTGGATGAGGCTTGGAGCAACCTGGTCTGGTGGAAGGTGTCCCTGCCCATGGCAGGGGGTGGGACTGGGTGGGCTTTAAGGTCCCTTCCAACCCAAACCAGTCTGTGATTCTGTGATATCAAAGCAGACATGCAGCCAGCCAGAAGACAGCTTAGAGACACCTGGAGAGGCCACACAGCTCCACTTTCAGCTATTCCTCAGGGGTAATTTCAGAGAGGGTCCACATATGCTGTGCTGCTTACTGCCTGCACCTCAAAATGCATTTCTGTGGAGTCTGGTACAAGGAACGGAGGGGGCACAGCTCACCCACCGCTACAGGACTGGGACAGAGGTAAACATGCACCTCTCTACTCTGTCCTGTAGCTGCATATAGCTTGGTAGAGAGCTCCAAAACCCTCAGCCCCCCTCCTCAAGTATTTCCACAGTTACTGAGCCCCAGACAGCCACGCTACCCTCAGCCATGTGGGCAGTGTCACACTCAGGGCTTGGATGCTCTGAAAGCCCTTCTCTCCTGGCTCAGGTCCATACAGCTTTGAGCTGTTCCTAGTGATCTACCCACACAAGCCTCCAAAATCCTTTGGAGCCCAAATTTTTCCAAATTCCCATCTCTCGCTGTCCTGAGGCCAAGGAAGATGATATGTTCAGAAAGAGATCTTTCCAGTGGCTCCTGCTACTTAAAATGTGGAGTTACAAGACATGATCTGCTGGGCTCTCCTCAAACTTTAACAAAACAAGAAAATTACTGTGCTGCATATCACCAGCAAGCACAGAGAGGTCACTCAGAAACAGCCTCTAATCTTCAGAGGAACAGCAGCCTCTTACAGAGGAAGACCTTGGCTGCTCCCTTGGAGAGGCCCAAGTCCCTTTTAAATCATCTGGCAACAGCTCTTTTGTGGTTCTTCGAGATAGACGGCAGCGTGAGCCATCCTGGAACAAAATCTTAAATCCCCACATTATTTATGACAAAGCCCCAAGCGCCAGTAAAGGGGAGGCAGATCAAACGGCTTATCGCCAGCACAGACCCCCCTGCCAATTACACGAGATTTGCTGTTGACATCATCTCCAGAGAAATGACTATGACCTGCTTAGGTCCTTGATGTTCAATGCTTCCCTGACTTCCACTCATTCCAGACCCTCTCCAAATCCCTGTTAACAGCAGAGGAACACACTGGCAGGGCAACGATCCTACGCAGGACCTACCACACACACCGCAGCAGAGCCCCGTTTTCTGCCCTCAGCTCGGATGTCTCAGTTTCCCAGGAGGTCCCTGCCACACGCAGAGATGGGAAAGGTGCTCTGGAGCAGTGTCAGAGCGCTGGGACAGCTTCCAAGGTTTTTAGGTACACATCCTTCACTCCAGCTGTTTCAGAAATTTGTCAGTACCCTCTGATCACCCTGCACAGCTTCCGACGTGCTTACCCTGAACAGATTTCATTTGGGTTCAAATGTCAGCACCAGAATTACGTGGGGATAGAAGGGGGAAAGGGTGAGGGCAAGTGAGCTGAACGCTTCAGTGCGCAAAACAAGGTCACATTAACTTCACTTGGTTTTTTTCTGGGCTTGCCACAACAGCAGAAGCAGCTCACTTGGTTCCCAAGGCTAAAATACAACATCAGCCTTAGAGCCGAATCATTAGCTGCCAGCAGCTAGCGCAGGCTCTCCTCGCCAAGCGGACAGTCTCTGCACTGCTCCATAATTAATGGTGTGGGGGAGTTTATTAGCCACCTGCCATGAGTAACCGACTCCTGACATACCCTGTAATCACAGCCATCGCCCTGGAATGAGCAGCACTGCGAACCCCCACCCTGCCGTGTCTCCCCTCCAGCCCCAGCAGCCGGCAGGGCCTGCTCCTGCCTACCCACCACCCCTCTGCACCGCTCACTGCCGAGCTGCCATCTGCTCCTGAGTAATCGGCCCCGCGCTGCGAGTCCTCGCAGGCTGACGCTGGAAAAGTTCATTTGTCCTAAAACGGACAGAGAACTGTGATTCTTCTGCATGCCTGATTAAAGAGATAATAAGGCTGGTGTGGCAGCCCTACCCCGAGATCTGACCCACCGAATTGACAGGCAGGAGAACACACAAAGCACTTACACACGGTGATTTCAATTGGTGCCTCAATAGGGCAATTTCTTCATCTGGGGAAGACTAACGAGGCCACGGCTGATTTCCTCATAGCACACTGGAACAGGCAAACAATGGCATCCTTGCTTTCAGTACTTCTGAGCCACTTAAAAACACCCCATGGTTCTGCACCAGAAAGCTGCAGGTAGCTGGGCAAGCACATCGGCGAAAACCAGAGTAGCTGCACGCGTGAAACCCCAGAGGTGCAGCTGCAGGGCTGGCTTCGGGCTCTGCTCGTCCAGCGTCGGCAAGCGACTGGGTTAGGACAGGGCTAGCTTACCAGGTAGCCCCGCCAGCTTCGCTGGGAGGAAATAACGCGTCACACATCTGCTCTGCGCAGTGTGGAACACAGCAGGTTTAGAGCACCCAGTCCCCAGGGAGAAGCTGGCCTTGGTGTCTCCAGGTACTTGACTCGGGTCAGACTACAGCTAGGATCACAAGGTCCAGCTCAGTCAGGATCTCACAGCCTGCGTGCTTGGGAAAGGGGTGGGGGGGCTTACTAACAGCCTGGTCACCAAGAGGTGTCCGAGTTCCTTCACACCAGCCGGGTGCACAGCACCTTGGCCAGCAGACCAGACTAGTCCCCAGGTCCTTTCTCACCAAGGAATACGAGTGAAGCGCAACGTACAGCAAATGTATGAGCGGTAATTAAGGGGAAGGCTGGGAGCCTCCCGTTAAAAGCATATTTTCCAGCCAAGCTCTGCAGTTCCTAAAGACACTATTGAAACAACACATAGACAAGGGCTTTCCAGAGCAGTCATAGCACAAGACGAACTACATTAATGTAACTTATTGGCATAAAAGAGAACTGATTCCCTCTGATCTGAACCAGCTTCTCTTACCTCTTGGGAGATTTCAAGATGTTTCCTTGCAAAGTGCAAAGCTTGTTCATGGCTCCCCAGGGAGACATAGGCATTTCCGAGACTCCAGCAGGCTCTTCCCTCTCCCACCCTGCAAAACAGGAAACTGTCAACCGCAGAAATGCTGGGCAAAACCCTGCAGCACAGCAGCCCTTTCAGGGCCTCCTCGAGAGCACCGACAGCCAGGCCTCCGAGCTTTCCCCTACAGAAAGGTTCTGCAGAGGAAAATGAGATGCACTGTACGTCTTAAACTCTTCCTGTGCTGAGGGCAGTATGGTCAGGGGATGAGCAACAGCCCCAGAAATGGGCCTGCACCCAGTGTAACAAGGGCCCAGAACGGTGTGGCTTTGTTCGTGAGCACCAGCCTGACAGCAGAAGCCAGAACTCCCATCCAGCTTCCACCTTGCACAGCAAGGCTTCCCCTCCAGAGACGCACAATGCGTCAAGAGGGCATGCAACCTCCAGCCCTTCCGTTCAACGCTCGCCCAGAGCTGGATTAACAACATGGCAAGGAGGAAATATTGTGGGCATGCAACGTTCCCCTGCTAAACACCAGCATTGTGTCGTCTGGGATGCACACACAAACTGAACGGCATGCCAGAGCCAAGCAACTATCATCTTGTTTCTGCAAGGCCTCCCAGGACACTGCTGCTTGTTTTCAAAAGCAGGTGAATGTGAAACCTGCCCCAGCAGCCCTCACCCCAGCCCCCCGTGCAGCCAGCCCCCGCCAGACACCCAGAGGTCTCTGGAGCAGGTCTCAGCACCCGTTTGCACAAGCAGGCAGAGACCTACTGCGCATCAGAGCCTGCTCAGCTCTGCAAACGAGCAGATGTGGGGGGTGATGGGATAAAAAAAGCTCATGGGGGCGCAGGGGGAGGTTCAGCGTGACTGCAACTCCCTTTTCAGAGGTTTGGGCGGGTTGATCAGCATTCAAACATTTTTCTTGTCACCCTGTTCAATACCTTCTGCTCATAGGGTGTGTTCCCAGAAATGCAGGAGCCCACAGGCCTGCACCCCCACAGCATGATTCACCCTTGGGTGGGATTATACCTTCTCTGAGCAGATACTGCTCGGAGAGTGCCACAGAGCTCCCATTTTAATGTCTCTGCTCCATCTAGTGGAAGACACTCGGCTTCCCAAGAGCCAGCAGCTGAACAAAGTGGCTGCAAAGTCACTTAAGCTACACGAAGGCTCCAGATCACAGAGTATAAAAAACGGCTAAGCCTCCTAAAGAAGGAGGAATGAAGCCAAGAAGCAAAATAGATCACCTCCACATGTTCTATGTAACATCATTTGTTTCTACATGGAAATTTCCAGCACAATCTGGGAGCAACAGGACAGAGCAGCATGTCCTAATCACACAGTTTCTATGAAGATAGAGTTTTTGTGAACTTGAAGGAATTTTAGAGGGGCCATTCTGGGGTAAACTAGCAGTAGCCTCATGGCAAACACTGCACACAATGCAATTTCTTGAAGTACCTATTAGAAAACCCACCCAGCCCACACAGACATAGCTTTAAGGGCACGATCTCCAGGTTTGAATGACATAAAGGTGTCAATCATGTTACAACGTTTGACAGATAACTGGACTAAAGTCTGAGAGATTTATAAAGACTTTCAAGAATACACATTGCTGCTGCCTGGCCCCAGCAGTAGAGAAGAGTAAGCAACCAGGGAAGGGCCAGGGCTCTGAGCCCACCAGTGCACACACACCATCTCCTGAGCAGCCCCTTACCTGTCCCCCAGCTCCTGTGCTATCACCAGATGTTTCAGATGGTATTCGATTGCTTTTTCGTAGTCTTGAAGCAGCGTGTATGTGTTTCCAAGACTGTAGCAAGCCTGAGCTTCTACTGCTTGATCTTTGAGTTGCCTGGAGAGCTGGAGTGTTTTCCTGCATGGAACAAGTGGAAATGAAGAGACCTGGTCACTGCAGGGCACCTCTGCAAGGTGCCAGGAAAGTCACTGCGTTGCAGTTGATGCCTGTAACTGCAGGCTATAGCACTCGCCACTGCTGAGCCCCACACATGCAACTGGCCTCCAGGTCCCTTGTCACATCCCCCTGAGCTTATGAATTCATGGCAATAGGTCAGGATTTCCATGGAACACATGCTCTGAGTCTGCCTTAACCCCTGGCACTTACTTGTAGTACTCAGCAGAGATGTCAAACCTCCCAAGGAAGATGTGTGCATTGCCCAGGTTGCTGTATGCTCTCCGCTCGGCTGCCTTGTCCCCAAACTCCTTAGCAATAGCAAGGCGCTGCAGCAGACACAGATTAGTGAGTACAGGCTGGCCACTGCCAGGTTTCTGTTACACAGCAACTTTTTGGATTAAACTTCCTGGTTTGCTAAGCTCCCACCCAGCAAGGTAGTGGTGCACATGCCTACAAAGGCTGGGTGCAGCAGGAAATCTCTCCCCCTTCTGCAATTTGGGATCAGGAAGGGCCTCTGGAAAAGTGGGAGTAATTGCATCCTCCTCTAAGTCCCCCTCCAGCCTGGTCAGTACGCATCTCTAGCTATGAGCTGTGCACATACTTCAGCAGCTGAACGAAGAGGTGGACGGAGAGCTGGAGGTCAGGCTGTGAAGGGATGTGGTTGATCAGCAGACTAACGTGCAGGAACAAGGCTGTCACTTCGCATGGCGCTGTGGCACAGAATGAACATGCATCTCACCTCTGCGTTGCAGCTGCTCCCCAGAGCTCTGCCCTTACCTGCACCTCAGCCCTGCCTCTCCTCTCACGTCCCCCTGCTTCCCCACCTCTCACCCGCCTCCTGTCAGCACCTGCTTCTGGTTCCAAATCCTGCACCGTTTTCCTGCCCCTTTTCAAGCCCCTTCTCTGAAAGCACTGCTGGCCTCCAGCATTTAAAAATCGTAAGAGCTGTGACAGGGCTGACTTTCCAACGTGCTGAGCACCTTCCACTGCAAGGAAACTGATTACACTGTGAACTAGAAGCTGAACTGCATTTGAATTGGGGTACAGACTGTGTCACCTCACCCCTCTGTTGAAGTTCACAGGAAGTTATTATGTTCTACAAGCAACATTTATTCCTGATCAACAGCTCTTTCAGCAGCTTAATTAAGTTGATGGCTTGCAATTATTAAAATCTAGACTGATATAAATTAAGAGCAGAAAAGCCTTGCCAGGCCCAGCTGCAATTTGCCCTTAGAGATCTCCTTTAGTTTCTAAGCACCTTTCCCTCAAACTGCTCATTAGGTGCTGATGGGAATTAGAGCACGATGTTGCTCAGCATGGTTTGGTACAACAGGGCCAGAACCTGAGGTACACACAGGAGAGAGAAAACCAGCCGAAGGCAAATGCCTCCCTGTGCTTCCCGGGCCGTAGTGGGAAGACAGGCTGCTCCCCACAGCCAGCCGCAGCCCCTGACCCCAGGAAGGAGGCACCGCAGTTCCCTACCTCCTTGTGGAAGGCTATAGCTTCGCTGAAGTTGCCAAGTAAGTACTGGGTGTTGCCGAGGTTGCCGTAAGCGCGGCCCTGCGCAGCTCTGTCCCCCAGCTCCTTCACCAGAGACAGGTTCCTCCTGGAAGAAGTTAGAGCAGTGTGTCTGGTGAGCCACAGCGAAGAGACTTGCACCGTAAAGAAAGGAGAGGTAATCCTGGAGAAGGCATTTTCTCCCTCCCCAAATGTCTGTCCTGTGCACCCCTTGGCAAGCGGAAGGCTGGTGATGTGGGCTAGCTGCAGCTCTGGGAGCTGGTGCAGGGCCAGGGGTGTAAGTCAGGCAATCTGCCGCTGTGCACAGGAACTGCTCACACCGCCACGGTCTGACAGGAACCCACGTTAAAGAAGAAATGGCCACCTCACTGTTCAGGGGAGAACCAGGAGCACAGGAGAAAGGAGATTACCTACAGCAGGACAGGGACAAACCTGGGAAGAGGGGCATCAGCCACAGTCCCATGCCAGGGCTCTGCTCATGGAACTTCCCAGCATTTCTTCACCTTGTTCTTTTCCTCCCTTTGCACATACAGCACACGTAGGGAAGCTTAGAGCTCCCACCTGGCACGGATTTACCCACTATATAGTTCTATATAGGCACTATCACATCCTCAGATAGAAGAAGACAGAAGATCTTGTCACTCTCTTCATTTAAAAAGGCTAAGTAAAAAACCTGGCATTATTGAAGCAAAACACTGAACTACGAGGAGAAAAATATTAGCCCAAAAATCTGGTGACAACCTCCCTGTGTGGGACATGAGAGTGATCTTTGAAACCATTTAGGAAAAGGAAGGATGTTACAATGAAGATAAACTACAGATCCATGAGAAGAGCATCTGGGAATCCCAGTGAAAGCCTCTTCCCTCGGTGAAGGGGAGTCTCTGCTCGTGGCCCCAGCGATGGGGACACACAGGGATCCTTCTCATCCAGGCCAGCAGAGAGCAGCAGGGGCTGCGGGAGCTACAGGCGTCAACAGCTTCGCTTCCAAGCAGCTCTGGGAAGGAGCAGACTCTTGAACTTAATTACGTGATCGTACTTCAAACTACACCGAGTTTTACCAAGGCAATGCCAGGATGAATTTTAGCTCTAATTTCATAAAAGCTTGCAATCCCTCTCTCACCTTCCTGGAGATAAATGTGCCGTAACTCGGCAGCTCATGGGAATACTCCTGATGCACTGCAATACACATCTAATTCAGTGGCCTGATTTTCAGCAATGCTGAGCCCACAGGCTTATTGTCTGCAACAAAGATCTTCCAGAGCTCCCACATCCTCAAGAACCTGGGAAACAAATCCCCCTAGGAGAAATGCTTCCAACAGGGCTCAGTAAAATTTGTCATCTTGCACTCATTAGCCTAACAGCTACCAAAGCTCAGCCAACCTGCAGCCCCTGAAAGCTGTCAGCAGAACAGGAACCCCACAAATACCCATTATGATCTGAGCAGGATGAGCTCAGAGCTGGACCTGTGTGCATTCTGGCAACCACTGATGCCTGTTCCCTGCAGGAGGGAGGGTTGGCCAAGTTTGGATACTTACTCATAATACTCTGAAGCCTTCTGTAGCGTCTCCTTGACTTCTTGAGGCAGGTAGCCAGGGTCTTCGGCCATGTTCCAAGATAAGTGCTTTCCCTTTGCATGGTAAACATTTCCTATGTTGTAGAGCGCTCTGGCTTCACCTACCTAAAGGGAGGAAGAAGAGGGAGCAGCAAGGTATTACCCTTCACATCCCAAATGGACCTTTCCAGTGCTGGGCAACCATGGTCAAAGCCAGGAGGCCCACATTTTCCTCTCCTCACTGTCATGGTGGCTGTTATTGTCAGCAGCATGAGACCTGTGATGCAGCCAGAAGGGAGAGCTTCACACTCCACCTCCTTCCAAAGCCCACCTTCACCATATCACATTTACTGACTTGCAAACAGATTATTTTTAAGGCCAGGAAATATTTCCTGTTGGACGCCATGAACCAATTACCTTGTCTCCTTGCTCCTGAGAAATGTCCAAGTGTCTCTGGCAACAAACAACAGCTTCATCGAACTGCCCAAGTATTTTCAACGTATTCCCAAGGTTGCCACTCGCCTTGGCTTCTCCAATGCGGTCCCCAATGGTTCTACAAGATGACCAGAGGAAAGAGAGGTGTTAAAGAGCCCTCAGACTTGTATTCACCAACCGCTGGAGGTGGAACTCAAGCTGCGGTGAGCCAGGCTGCAGCACGCACTGCGTGGTACGCACACCACACGCAGCAGCTCCCAGCACACGCTCCTGACTGGTGCGATTCTTGTTTTTTGCTGTCATGGGTGAGCTGCTCCTAAGACTTCAGGTGTACTTACAGTGAGTACCTGGAACAGGAGAACTGGACACTGCGCTGCTCCTGCTCCAAGTGCCCTCCTCACATCCATATCCTCTTCTCCAACTCCCTGCTCCAAAGGTGGCCCATTCTTATTGCCCCCCGAGTTCTCCACAGGACACTCCCCCCATGCCTCAGGGCCAGTTTTGGATGCTTATTTCTGGGGCAGATTCCCTCTGGCTGCTGGGTTCAGACCCCGCAGAACTTGCCTTTGCTCAAGCCCTGACCGGTTGTGTCTAATGAGGACGAAGCGCTGGCTGACATGCTTACCTGGCCAGGGTCAGGTCGTGTTTATGGTACTCCAGGGCCTTGGAATATTCCTTCAGGTAGAAATAAGCATTGCCCAGCTGACTGTAGATGGCACTGAGAGTCTTCAAGTCCTCTGTCCCCACCTGCACCGCTGCTTCGAAGAAGGCTGCCCCAGCTTTGAAGTCCCCAGCCTTGCACAAGCGCTCTCCTTCCAGGGCCAGTTCCAGGCAGGATGCCTCCATTCTGCCAAAGACAAGTCCGTCATTTCTAGAGGAGTGAGACTGTGGCGCACCCACGCTGCTACGCAATGGTTAACAAGTTTACTTCATCGTACACCTCATGGCACCAGAAAAGAACCTGTGAAAACCCCAGGAGGGAGCCAGCCTCACAGCATTCCAGCCTCTCTGCATTCAGCCAAAGGCACCAGCCCTCCGTCAAACATTGTTTGGGGGATAACAACTTGGGACAGCCGCTGGCACAGGTCAGCAGTGGGGACACCAGCTTTCCTGGATGGGAACACTCAGCCCCTCCAAGAAACCAACCTCCTAGGCACGAGACACAGCAGCATCCAACCTTACAGACCACGCGAGCAAGTGGCTAAAGGCCACTGGGTTCCCGGGTTCCCAGTAGGAATCCAGACAACAAACCCAGGGCTCCTGGCTCTCAAGACACAGCGACATCTCAAGAGTAACACGGCATCTGTTTTAATTCCAGGCGGCGCACAGTGCAGAAGCCACCTACCCAGGCTGTTCACACCTGTACCACTTTCTCTGGGGTAACAGAAAGGGTAGCCAAATCGTAACACACTTTTATTGGATTCCAGAGAAAATCCTGGACCATGCAAAATTTCTTGGCTGAGCAGCTTCCAGCACTTGGTGTCTGCTTTTCATTACTCTGCTCTGTCACTTTTTCCACAGGCACTCTGCACGTTAGCCTCCAGGCTAGCTTTCCTCCCTCACGTTTCTCAGCACCTTTGGCAAGGGTGCATGCTGTCTGCGAGTGCTCCGCAAGCCAGCGAAGGAGGGAGACCCGTGATACCGCTTCAAGAGAAAGGAAACTTGCTCCCTCGAGTGCTCCACCAAGTCCTCCCTAAGTTACAGCTGTTCCCGTTGGACCGGGTGTCTCCTTCCGTCCTCGGAAGGGACAAAGCTTCCATTCGCCTGCTGCAAAGCCGGCCCCTTCACCAGGCGGATGGACACAGCATGTTCCTGCTCCTTTATTCAGATGATTCTCTTTGCTCTTTTTGGCTTTCTTCATTTCTGCTTAATGTATTTTTAAAAGTCAAGACTGTCTAGGTCAAAGGTGGACATCTGCTCAAAAAAAACCACAGCCCATTTGCCCAGAGCCAGAAAAGCAAGGGTCAGACAAAAGACACCAAGTGTCCAAAGGCACTCTCTTTCTGTTCTCAGGCAAAAAAGCACTTGCAGCAAGGTGGGCTGTGGCACCCAGCCTCAGAGAACAATGCTCATCACCACGGCACCAGCAGCAGCCCAGCTGACATCTCCTACAGTAGTTTCCTGCACCTTGTGATGAGCAAAGACCCAGCCCCTGCAGCTGGGGTCTCTGCAGAGCACAGCTGAGGTGTGTTGGCCAAGCCGGGGCACTCTGTGCTAAGGGGACCACAGGCCACTGCACACCGACTTTGGGGCTGAGCTCCTCCTGCTCCAGCATCTTCCACCCAAGTGCCCAGCACCTGCCTCCCCCTGCACAAAGGGGCATGGGGAGATGCACGAGCAAAGACCCAGCCCCTGCAGCTGGGGTCTCTGCAGAGCACAGCTGAGGTGTGTTGGCCAAGCCGGGGCACTCTGTGCTAAGGGGACCACAGGCCACTGCACACCGACTTTGGGGCTGAGCTCCTCCTGCTCCAGCATCTTCCACCCAAGTGCCCAGCACCTGCCTCCCCCTGCACAAAGGGGCATGGGGAGATGCACGTACAAAATACCAACCCTGACACGCTTTTCCTGCAAACAGGCAGAGTGGCGTTTTCCCAGCTGCCAGGAAACAAAGCCAGTTCCATGAGCAGTGCATAAACGATCTAAAATCCAGCCCTATTTGCCTGGCAATCTCCCTGCTGAATTGGCTCCGCATGGCTCCAAACACCCAACGCTTGGCAGCCCAACAGCATCCTCCAAGCAGGACAACCCCCAAGGTCCGCACAAACCAAAAAAAAGGGCAAAAGAGCTAGTTTCAGACTCTCCTTCCAAACATACTCGTGATCTCTCCTGTCTCGCTGATCATCTGTCCCCAAACCCACCGAGCAACAAGAGGGAGAACAGGACTGGGAAGCAGCTCGGTTGAGCTCCCACCTCAGACTCCCACACGAACATTTCATTCCAAGCTCCCGGCAGAGCCCACATTTGAGTGGCTACTTGCTCTAGACGGCTGCTTGTGTTGCCAGCGCAGCATCAGTCCCTGCCCCAACTTCTGTTTGAGAGGGGAAATGAAAATATTAAACCTGTTAATACTAAAAATGTTTAACTTCTCTCTACTGATCCTCTTGCTAGACCCCAGGAATATTAGTAAGAATGAATTTCTGCTACAGCCTGTTGAATTACAGGGACACATCTGAGGATCATACCAAACTTTCATCAGTCCCAAGGCACACTCGTGGTTTGTAGACCACTGGAGTGGTCATCTAGCGTCATCCCCAGGCATGAACAAGCCTCTGCCGATACACCCCAAGCAGCTGAAAAAGGCTTGGGGCTGAACACAGACAAGGAACACCTTATTCTCCAGTCAGCAAGGTTAAATCAGGCAGCTTAGCAGAGATCAATCTTGAGAGGGCTTGAGATGCAGGAATAAAAAAAATGCACCACTATCACAGGAATTAACACTGGATTCCTGTTAGAAGGTGGCAGAGACAGAAGCAAAGTAATTTCAGTTCAAATTTTCAACAGGAACAAAACTCCTCCCAATATCCAGGTTCTCTTTAAGAAACGGAACTCACCAACTGTAAACAGTCTAAAAACTGAAAAGAGACCAATTTCGCTAATTCATGGCATTGCAGTCCAGCTCAGATCAAACCTGTTGTGACTGGATTCCTGTTAGAAGGTGGCAGAGACAGAAGCAAAGTAATTTCAGTTCAAATTTTCAACAGGAACAAAACTCCTCCCAATATCCAGGTTCTCTTTAAGAAACGGAACTCACCAACTGTAAACAGTCTAAAAACTGAAAAGAGACCAATTTCGCTAATTCATGGCATTGCAGTCCAGCTCAGATCAAACCTGTTGTGCGATCTGAATATCCTGAAGGAAGGGTTCCCATCCCCGCAGCACAGAAAACCCTACAGCAACAAAACCCACCTACACCCACCAAGGCTGGCATCTCGCTCAGGCCATGTTTGCGGGTGGAAACATATCCAGAAGTGAAATTTGTGCCTCGGGGTCTGCATTCCAACACACTCACACACACTCACACTCTCAGGGTGCTTTCCTGGTGTTCCCATAGTAACTGTTCAGGCACAACGAAGTGACATGACCCTCCAGTGCACACAGCCTTTAATTAAAATCTGTTTGTCCTTGAGCAGGCTGCTTTGCAGAGTATCTGACTTATCCAATTAACATCACTGCTCAGTTTGGGACCTAAGCACACAAGGATGAAGGGACAGGCAGCTTTTTCTCTGCATCGCACTCTGCCAAGCCTTTGCTGCCATGTAAAGGGACAAGAGTCGAGGATGGCCATTCTTCATATAAACACAACCCTCTTCTAAACCCACCTGCCCTTCCCAAATCCTCAAGCCTCTCAAGGAGAGCTAGTTCTGGGAAGCAACTCTGCAGGCAGTTCAGTCACTGCAGGCTTAAAACCACTCAAACACAATGCCGAGGGCAGACGAACCAACTAAAGGTCAATGAACAAACTCAAGCGCACTGAAACACTACTTGTACAACAGCTTCCAAAGGCCATGGCTCAGCTGTCCATAAGAACACACCAGAAGGGTCATTCAGGCAGAAGACACAAATCTGCTCTTCAAGTGACCCAACGTGACCCACCTTGACAGACTGGAAAGGAAATGGAAAACAGTGACTAAAGACAGACTCAAGTTAGAGCCCCGGTTCCTCCCACAGCACATTCCTGAGCCCTCCCCTACCTCTTCTTCTGCAGGTTACGCATTTTCTGAACATAAACCCAGAGCTCCAAACCCACTGGCAGAAGGAAGCAGCGGGGCTGAGGTCTGCTTGCAGCAATTTTGCAGACAGGTGTCTCTGTTAAGTTCACGAGTAGGATCCAAGGTTTTGAAGATGCCGGTGGCTTCTTCATGTCCGTACAACATGCACTGCTCCCCCAGTTTTCACTCCATCTGCTTGGGCAACATTACCAGTAAGTTGCTGGAATCTTGAACTGTGTTTATCTGGGACACTCCTTTTTCTCTCCGTGCGCTACCCTCAAAAGGGCAGGGGAAAGGAGCATTGCTTGTGTTTCCTGAGACCTAGGGAATGTAATGTCCTCTTTCCCCTAGGAAATATAATACCCTTTATCCACTGCTGATTTCAGGTACCACATAGGGAGTTCACAGCTGAAATACAGTAACAAGAGAGCGTCTTGGTTCATTCACATATTTACAGCACTGTCCAAAGAAGAAAGAGGGACCTAGAAGAGCCCGTGAAATGTCCAAGTGGAAGGCAAGCAGCTCCCTCCCTTCCCAATTGGTCTCTTCCTGAAGTACTTGCCTCTGTGGTCCCAACAGCTGTTTCTGTTGGTGCCTCTTTTCTCCAAGAGCAGAAGGACTTCCGCTGCCACGGGTGAGGAGCTGAGGGTTCCTCCAAAAGAGGGTCAGCTTTGGCCAGAAGCACACATTGGCTTGACAGGCTCCGAAGAGGCCTCATCCACCTGCCCCCCAGGAAGCTTTGCAAGTTCCAGAAGCGATCTGCGCTGTTCTCAGACTGGGGAAAAGCAGAAGGCAGATCCCACACAGCACGTCCCAGCCCATTTAAATGGGCTCCAAAACATCCCCGTCTGAGAAGACACAGCCCTCTACCCCCACTCCCCGGGTATTAAGTTTCTCCTCTGCTGACACACAGAGAACCCGCCTGGGCCTGTACCACCTCAGCAAGCACCTCCTGTTCATGTCTTAATACCAGAAAAGAAGATTCAGCCCCTCCTGAGCCAGCAAATTACAGCTGACAAGCTGGAGGTGCTGGGCTTGGCCATATGGTGAGGTTCAAAAGGGACACTGCAGAACAAGAGCTGCTTTCTTACTTCCACAGCTAAGATGTTAGAGCTTGTTAACACAACTCCCCCACCACTGGACCTTTCAGCTAACAGTGTGGCATGTCCCTCCCTGCCTGTGGGTTTAAAAAAGATGCAGGAGTGGGGGGATGCTCATCTGGAACAGCCCCTGTTCATGAGCCTTGCTGTAAATCAGTGCAAACCACCCAAACAGGTTTGTATGTTCCTCCAGATAGGCAAGATTTCCAAGTATTGGCCAAAGTCACATCCCAGACTCCAGGCCCACCACAAGCAGCCAGGAAGGCCTGACTACATTCCCAGATGGTCAAATCCCAGACCAAACCAAGACTACATCACACAGGGCAAAGTTTTTTCTTCTGAATGCGTGGAGATGACAGATCACGTCATGCCTGTTGTGAGGACACCAGTTGTGACCTAGAAACCAGAACGGTGCTGGTGTGTAGAGCAGAGTGCCAGCACCAGTTCCAACTGGAGCGCTAAGCAAGTCCCACCGCTCCCCTGCACCGTGGGTTACATACACATCTGTACCACAGCCACGAAGGCAGCTCCCAGAGCACTTCGATTCCTTTGCAAGAAGTACTTTGAAAAGGGCAATATATGTGTTTAAGAAACAACAACTTTTTTAAAGCAGTTAAGAGGCCGAATATAAACCCAATGTTTGGCCACAAATGAGGCAGGCAATCTGCACAGCATTCTGCCGGAGAACAAGTGAGTGGCATAACGCTGGCAGATCACGCAGCCCCCATCAACGCGACAGCTGCGAACGTCAAACCCGGGAAGGGATGTCGCTTCTGACACTCATATGAGGCAGAAAAGGGTGACCTTCCACCATGCAGTGATAGGGACGAGGAAATCTCTTCCCAGTCCAACATAGGGCAGGGCCACCTTCCCTCCTTCTTATAAAGGATAACTGAACCAAAGGCAGAAAGAGCCAAGAAGGACAGGAAGAGCAGATACTGCCTTAACAAGATTTCCCAGGGCCATCCATCACCGCCAGATAGCAGCTAATGATGATCTGCATGACAGATTGCCTTTTGGCTGCCTTGCCTTAAGAGCAAAAATGTTCCTTTACAAGTGCACAGGCAAAACGCAAGGACTCGCACGCATGAAGTGTTTCCAAGTAACACAGCGATACGGCGAAGGCAGCAAGGGTCCCAGGAGCACTGGGGAGGCCGAAAACACTGCCAAGTCGGAAACAAAGCAAACAGCACAAGGTGTTACCGGTGCCATTAACAATGATCACCATGCCTGCTGTCCAAACAGCACTATAATTAGGACTTGGGTGATGATACAGGTCTCCCCGCGGGAACACTACTCATAACGTGTGTTCAGAAGCTTGGAGCTGCAGTCAGACTTCCCAACAACCCGCTCTCCTCTAAAATTCTGCACCTCCCTTGCCAAATATTCCAAGAAAGTAACACTGCATGGGCATCATGACACTTGTCCTCCCCCTGCTAGGCTGGAAAACCACAATGCAGACTTGCCTTTGGCCAAGAGCTCTTGTGCAGGATCACGGTCTGTGCACCGACCTGAGGTAGCCCAGGAGATACGGCTACAGCAGCCGGAGTAGCACACAGGACATCGCCCCTCACAGGTCTGCACCTCCGCCCCACGCCCGCCCCAGGCAGGCAGAAAAGAGGAGCCCATAGAGTGCCCAGCAATTAAACTTGTCTTGCTCCAACCCAACCTTTCACACATCCAGGGCTGCCTTGTTTGGCCTCTCTTGCTCGCGGCAGTAACCCTGCTGACAACAAATCCATCAAGCTACGCAGAAAATAATCATGTCACAAGACAGAGCCAGGAGACGGTTGTCTGCTGCCTTAAGTACTGTAAATCTCACAGGGCAAGAGAACCTCTTCCTGCAAGGTGAAGCTGCCTTTAAAAAAAAAGGAAAATATATTTATAGGTATTTGATTCATATTAGTGGGGGCGACTGCAAAACTCATTCCCAATCAGAGCTGCTGTAGTTCTGAAGTCAGGAATAAACCCCAAGCTTTTAGAGGTAAGGCAGAAAAAAAAAAAATCATCAAAACACCAACAGTAGTAAAATAAACCTTTTAGTCTATCTATTGATATGAATTAATGAAGCAACAGATTTTAGCATCTTACTTCCAATCTGAATTTTATACAAAAATAAACATAATTTCAGAACACTGATAACAGGGGCAATTCAACATTTTTCCCAATCAAAAAGGGAGCAAGTTTATCAGGTGCACAGTGTAAATGTATATTCATTGCCTTAACTAAATATGCATTTAAATAATTAACTGGCAGCACATTCTTAAAGAAAGTAATCAGGCTGGGAGTTATTCCCCTTCAGTAATTTCCTTTCCCAGCCTTCGCACAGCTCCTTGCACATGTAAAGCAGCTGATGGCTGAACCACCAAGTATGACAGCCAAGGATGAGCTGCTCCAGCTCCCCAGGGATGGTCCCCCTTCCCTGCACCGGGATACGACGGAGGGACCTCGCATCCCACATGCACCAGCTCACACTTCTCCTGTGCCAAAGCCCATGGCATGCTTGACAAAGGGCCTGACTATTTTCACAGGCTCCCCTACATGAGGAGAGCTATCCCACACCCTCCTGCAGCACAGCATACTTCATTGAGGGTGAATTGATACCTGTTCAGCCTTGGGCCAGCACTGCAGGCCAGACTAGACTGCTCTCCTCTGCCTGGGGCATGCTGACAACATGTTTTGGGCAGTTTCTCTCTGTCTACCTTGCCCCAGGCAGGGTCCTCACTCCTCATCAAGCATCACTTTTGTTGTCCCCCGGACAGGCTGGGGCTCACACCATCCTATCTCCTGCACATACATGTCTGCCTCTCTCACTTGTTCCCAAGTGATGAGCTCCCATCTCTGAGAAGAAAATCTTATTACTAGCTCCTACGTACACGTGCTTGCAACTCCACCCCATTAAATATCATCACATTGCCATGACACCAGACCTGTCAATCATTCAGATCCTCCTAGTCAGTACTCATCCTCCCCTGCACTGCTCACACCTCTCCATGCCATCGACACACCCATTGCCAACCTGCTCTGCTTTGCAGGGAGGGCACTGAAGTCCCAACCAGCTCACACCCAAGACCAGTTCTTGTGCAACACGGCCAGCGACACCTCTCCACCCCGCCGACAGCTCTCCTTTCGCAGCGCGGCCCCTCGATTCCCACCCACGTCACAACCCAAGCACTAATCCCCTCCTGACAAGCAGTTTCCCCACAAGGCACCGTATCAAATGCAGGCTGGCAGGGAAGGGTGACAAACAAATCAAGTTGTACGTGAAATTAGCCTGACTCAAACTACTTCTGGTTGTTGGAAACCAGCACATGGAAACTGCTTTCCCTCTGGTCAATGGAGGGCAGGACCTCTGAGGCACGCTGACCTACATGTCACGTTATGAGCAAGGGGAAGAAAACAAACCCTCTTGTTCTGCTTGGAAAGGAAAGGCTAAAGATGAAACAATGAATGCTGCACCCCGTCCTTCCCAGCTTCTGAATTCGTTCCAAGCGCCTGGGCCAGTTTCCTTCACATCTCCTGAAGCACACAAGGTGCTGTGGAGGCGGCTCTGTACCACCAGCACATCTTGGGGGGAGAAGGTTTCCTCTCCACACACTTGCACTGGTGGTATCGCAGTGAGTCCTTCGGGTGACCCCTAAACCAAAAATCATGTCATAATACATACACACACACACTTGCTGCTGCTTGAGAAGTGTTCGCTTAAGCTGGAGCTCCAGGGAATATCAAGATGAAACGGTTTTCACTGCAGTCTTTTGAAAAGGGCATGAAATGGAGAATCCAGAGGGGAAAACTACAGGGAATTCTGGAAGCTGTCAGGTCTGTGAGCTGGCTCCAGATTTCCTCTTCCATTCACTGATGGTAGCATCAGTGCTCAACAGTAGTCATTTCAGTTAATTGCTATCTACCATTAGCTGCAGAGTACTTACAAGGGATTCAATTCCACTGCATATTTGCTA